AGGCAGCCCAAGGTCCCAACTCCCAAGCGCCAGGAGAAGGAGGAAGGAGAGGTGGAGAGGCCGCGGCGGAGTCCCAAACCAATTATTTTTTTGATAATTCGAATTTTGGATAATTCGAATTTTTTTACTGGTCCCTTGAGGTTTGAATTATCTAAGTTCCACTGTATTAGGCTCACTCACACACTGAGGGAGGTACCAAGGGCATGTTAGAGATTTAATGTGTGTGTGATTGTGTGAGAGAAAGAGTGTCACAGTGTACATGTGTGAGGAGGAATTAGTATGTGAGAGAGTTTGAGAATGCATGTGAGTTAGTGTTTGTGAGGGAAGGAGAGAGACTGTGACTTGAGAGTGTACATGTAAGAATTAACTGACTGAGGTGTGAGGGAGAAAGCAAGCCAGAAGAAATGTACAGCTGATGTGTGTGTGAGAGTGAGTGAGTGAGTGAGTGAGAAAGAGTGCAAGAGAGAGGCTTGTGAATGTCATAAACAGAGCTAAAGGAATCCTGTATAGCACCTTTTGAGACTGAAAGATATTCCTCTCAGAGAAATGGGTCAGCAGGTCAGAGAATTAGTGTGAATGAACCTCTGCGAGAGTGAGCATGTGAAAGAAAAAGAGTGAGAGAAACAGTATAACTGAATGTGTGAGAGAATGAGTGTGTATGTCAGAGTGCTTGAGGGGAGCAGAGAAGCAGTGTCTCTTGGAAGCTGGTTCCGCTGGGGCCCCAAATCATCTTCTATCTGGAACACCTCCAACAGCTGCCTAAAGGCCTCTTTGTTTGTTCCTCCTCTCCTTGGTCCACATCCAGCCTAGTCCAGTCCCACCCTACCATGCCTACCCATCCATATGTGAGTGAAAGCCTCTGACTGGCCGGCAATGAGGGTAGACATGGTCATAGGTGGGCCCAGGCACATAGTTTGCTCCAGTGGTTCGCAGAAAGCAGTGCGCTTGCACCACTCCTCCTCCTCTGCTGGCTGGTCTGACATGCCATTCATTTGGGAGTGGAGCCACCGAGGTCAATTCTCTTCTGCCTCTGAGGGCTCAGCCAGACCAGGTGATGGTGGCAGCCCTGAGCAAGAGGCAATGCCACCAGGAGCCGTTGTGGATTCAGATTCTCCTTTAGCCACTGTGCACTTAGGGTACACTGGATTGAGTGGATCTGCTGGTTGAGGCTGCAGTGGCATCTCACCCTGAGAACCAAGGCAAAGATGGGAATGGGGGGAGAAGAAGAAGCAATGATTCAGAATGGACTCCACCAGAGGTCATGACCCAGTGAGGTCCCTGCTGTCCTCTCTTCTCAGGAAAAGGCATCTGATCCAAGCACCTATCTTACCTTTTTCTTCCCCTCCAGGACAAAAAGTTTGGGAAGTGGAGGAGGAGAAGGGATTCGAGTCTCTAAGTCTCTCTCACACACCCTTGAGCAACTCTTGCACCCCCATGGGGGTCCTGCTCCACAGTTTGAGAATCACTGGGCTATGCTGATTTACATAGTATCTCTGATAAGTCTTGTATGCTGAACATTGACCAACATAAATGGTTAAACTTGTAACCTGCCTGAGAAAGGAATAATAATGTCTTCAAGGGCAAACAGAGTGATGATCAACACATGTTAGTTGGCTCATGACAAACCTCTGGTATAGTAACTAAGCAAGAACTTATTAGGAAGGTACAGAAACAGAATTCCAATTAGCCACCACTGCTGATAAGGTTCCTCCTGAAGATATGGGGAGCAATAATTAGAGTAATGAGTGTGTTTGAGTACACTGGAGCAAAGAGCTACAATTGGCAGGGATACATGGCCTGTGCCTTGTTGAGAAGGAAATCATCCTGTGCTGACTAATTGGTACTGGACACCTGGCTTTTCCAAGTCTTGGCAGAGATGCTCTGCAGACCAGTGTTTCCTCTGTTTGTTGGGTAATAAGGTTGGATTAATGCAAGAAAGGAAGACTTTCACTCACTTACCCTCCTTTTGTATTTTTCCTTCCTTTACTCTAAGGCACAGCAGGAATGCAAGGGAGAACTTCCATTTGGAAATGTTCAGGTTGGGATGAGCAAAATTTCCAAATCCAAGATTTCTGCAAAAGATGTCAGGGTTTGTTGTTTTTGCATGCCTGTTTGGTTCTTCTGTTCTGGTTTTGCTCTTGCCCCAAGTCCAAACCTTGTTGTAAGCACTAAACTAAGCCAGAAGACTGTAAAAGAGTGAAATCACAATTGTGAGGTGTAGAACCTTGGATTAAGCCAGAGAACATCATTAGATTGTTCATTTAATTTTGGTTCTAGTTCCAAGGAAATTGCCAATATATCCTGCTCACACTATACAATTATAGTGCTGTATTTCCACACTA